GGCGTTGTAAGGTGGCGGGCTAGCTGAGAGAGTTTGAGAACTGAGATTGAAAATATGACTGAGTCTGATGATTAGAGAATGTTTAGTGGCACGATTTTATAGTCGGGACGAGTCCATTCGCATGAGCCAAGAGATCGCGCGACATCAAGGGATTACTGCCTTGCCTTCTGCCGTGAAATGCGCGAGAGTACTCGCGGAACGGCTCTGGTTCAGCTGCCGAATGTGAATTAGTTCGTGTCCGTAGGGATGACATGTCAACATTGGCAGTGTCAACCCAAAGCGCGAGAAATTAGAGTGTCAAGAACTGAATCTTCAGTGTCAAATCGAAGCGCAGCAAGGAACCCTGCGACGGAAGATTATTGGTTGGGCACGAGTTTGAGTACACAGGCGACCCCTTGCACGAACTTGCAGTCGCACGAAGTTCAGCATCCGTCGATTAGGCAGGTGTGGTCGTCGGAAATCTCGATGCCATCAATGTGGTTGGTTGGTTAGTTCCTTTATTTTCGCAGAGCTGGAAGTCCGACGAAATTTACAGGCTGGCAGTTTGGTGTCGTTGACACTCTGCCAACAATGTTGGCAAGTGTCAAAATCACAAGTTGACACTCAAAAGCTTGACATGTCATCCCTACGGACACGACCTTATGCAATTTCGGTGCGATGATAATTCAAGAGCAATAATGCAGTTTTCGAGCTGCCCGATGTAGAGACTTGTGATGCGTTGGTTGTGGAAGAGTTGGCTCAAATTCAATCTGCCACCTTAGAAATTGAAAGGCAACAATTCTGCTTGCGAGACTCGGTCTGAAAAAAATGCTCAGAAATATCAATTTTCTTCGTTACCGCGTACTCAGGAATTTCATTGGCTGCCGCAGAAGGCGGTGGAATTGGAAGGACAAGCGGGGAACACACTTGAACGGGGAATACACTTGATGGTTCCTGATAGTTGTTGATACAGATTTGCAGTTTGGATAAAATCTCCTCAGTGTGATGTGTTTCTATTACTAGCATTTTAGAAGTGTGTGTAATTCTTGCAACCAAGTGAACACCAAACATGCTACGAATATCAAATATACCCAACAAACCAACCTTACGGACGGTCTGTTTTAAAACGAACCGTCGGGCCAAAATGGTTATACGCCCTAATTTCGAAGTGGGGATTGCCGCAGGTCTAGTAGGTGCCGTCCCTTTTTCTTCTATCATATGTACACTGTACATAATGTTTTCCCCTGACTTCTGCTATTCATTCTTTTCGGTTGGTACACTGTTCTAGATTGTGATCAGTTGTGTACTCCCTGCAATGCAAAGCTCAACCAACAAATGAACAATCAGCACACATAAACTCATTCCTCAGAGAATCCTTCAGGCATGGACTTACTGCATGGTATGGGGCCTTCTACTTGCCTGGTCTTGCCTGCTGTGGCCTGATCTGCCCTGGGCTGCTGTGGCCTGGTAAGCATGCACGATAATGGCAAATGCTCTTCCCTATACCAATCTTCCAGCAGATACTTTGTATGATTCTGGCTTTGCAAATGCTCTTCCCTATACCAATCTTCTTGACCATTGAGTAGTAGGTGGCTTATGGCAATAGCAGAGATGTGCTAACAGCGTTTTCAAATCAGCAATTACACATACAAGTGCGCAACCCACTGGTATCCAGTCTCCTAAGCACCCATCCACCCCATATATCATACATCGTTAACACTCTATCAAGAAACCAAAGAACTTTTAGACAACCACCCATCACACAAAGCAACATTTTTTCTTGACTAGATCCCCACACTGGCTTCAGAATCACAATTTTGGGGTCCGACCATGCCGGCCTTCAAGGCACCATCACACTCGCTGAGGGGGGGCAAGGGAAGAGAGAAAGATAGTCCCAACAGAAGCACACTGCAGAGGTATGATAGTGGTCTACACGGCGATTGATGGAACATCTGGCGTGTGACGAGCCTCATGTGTGAGTGACAAGTCAGATCACTTCACATGGCATGTGAAAGCGAGAAACCAGATCACAAGACATGTGAGAGCGACAGAGCAACGCAAGGAAAAAATTCACATGACAGCCCGTCCACCTTGCGTGTGACGTACCAACAGCTGCAGTCCACACTGTGAGCGCTGATTATTGAGGCTGATAGTGCACTGGGTTATTGCCAGCGCGTTTCCCCTGTAACGTGTGGGGCAATAGGTCTCGCCCTTCGCGTACACAGTCCTGCAGACTAATCTGTTGATCAAGGCGATACGAGGCACGGGTAAAAGCAGCATGCAGGATATAGAATTTGAGAAGCATGGTAGTGAATCTCTAGGCCTAGTTAGATTATACGCTGCAGCAAGGTAAGCTGCCACCTCACCATTCTGAATCCCACGGCACAAAGTGATTTCGCATGGAGAAGCAGAAACATTCCGAAAATAACTATCTGGAAATCCGGATAGAGTGCACCGAGGGAGAACGAGAGAGGAACCATTTGCTCATTCGAAGTTTGGATCGTGTTATGGTATAGTGGGTTAGTCCCATGATACGTACTATCAGCTGTCGTCTGCAGCTTGCGGTGGCGCTGCTCGCGGGCTTCGCTGGGCTGGGTGATACTCGCCGCGTTTTCTGCTGTATCGACGCCGGTCGCCGCGCTCGTTGCTGGTAGGGGCAGGTTAAGGGGAGTGAGAGGAGTGAGGGGTAGAGAGGACGTTTAGCGAAAGAGGCCTAGGCAGAGTGAGGTGGGATGCGTGGTCAGATGGGTTGTGAGTTAGAAGCAGTAACGAGGGGCGGATAGAGGGGGTTCATGGGATGATTGAGGGGATGCGTGAGACGAGATGAATCGCTTGGTCAATGCAGGGGGGGAAGGACGAGTCAGGCAGAGCGAAGCAAGTGCAGCGTACAAGCCGAAGCAAAGAACAAAGCTGAACTGAAGCGCATGCTTATATGGGTATTCCTTAGAAAGTACAACATCGCTCGAGATGCCACAGCTCGATAGGCTGTGAAACCGAGATTGCGTGTTTTAACCGCACCGAACCAAGTGTGTCGCGCTCGAGCGGTTGGCCTTCATTGGAGGCGACAGTGAAGGCGAAAGTGAAGGCGCAATGCGCGAACGCGGCGCCAAGGATATGGCTTGGGGTTTGCGAGGGTTCGGGCCGTACCTTGGGCATATGATACGCATGAGAGCACCAGGAATGCAGCGAGGAAGAGCGCGAGGCCGACGGAGAGAGCGGAGCGAGCCATGTTGATGCGAGGCGACTGACAGGTTTTTGTTAGAGGGCCCTACGACAGCAAGGGCCCTCGATGACCTTTGACTTGGCAGGTCAGCGCCTAACGACTGAGTCTACTCGGCACCGACGCATGCGTTCGGTGGCAGTCACTAGTGACTGTGGGTGACAGCGAGCTACCGCAGCAAACTCGGCGGAGTCAGTGCAGGATGGCGTGGGTCTTTGGGAGTTGGGCGTGCTTCTTTGAGAGTCACGCCACTCCTTGCAGTGTTGGCTGGAGTGGCGTGCACGGAAGTGGTTTGCGCTGCTGAGTTGGGTTGGGAATTGGCCGAGGCGCGTTCACCCACCCACACGACAGTTTCGTGGGGTTGGGTTACTGCGCAGCGCCACGGCAACTTTGTGCAACTCTCCCGTAGCCATATATCTATTGTGTGTTTGCTTGTATGAACTTCATAGTTGATATTACAATTCTACTTGGTTTCTCACTTAGTCATTTGAGACCAACGCTACCCAAACGCTACCGAATTACTGGCACAACATCAATTCCCATAGCCGAAACTCTCTCGCCGTCGTAACGCTCTCCATAGTATTCCTTCATGGTGCGGTGAGCGTGGAACGAACACGCATAGATTTCCGTCGTCGATTATAGTGACGTTCGTATACTCGCCTTGGCGTGCGGCGTTAGTGAAGGGCGCTTATTAATTTAAGTTGAACCTTTCTTAATGTCCCTCCAGTTACGTTCTCGGACCCAAGGATAGGGCGTTTGGTAATTTATTACCACTCGTCTGAGGACCCTTGTGAGGTGACCCCGAGACGAGGGATTTAAGGAAGGGACAATTTATTTTAATTTGTGGTACCTTATAGAGGCGTCGTAAAGGATGAGTACGGAGGAGGCGAACGTGGAGGCCGATAATTTCCGCGCATTAGAGGAGGACCTCGTGGCTCGTCGCTCTCGTGGTGAGCTTAGTAGTGAAGATTACGAGCTCATGTTGGAGGGAATACGCGCTCGTCAGCGTCGCGATCGTCCCTCGCCACGTGTAGAGCAAGCCGCGGGAGGAACTAGTGCGTGGGATATGGCTGTTGATGGCGGAGATGGCGATGACGAGGAGTTTGATGGGTTGGTGTCGCGTGGGGTCCTGCGAGGAACGACTCGGTTTAGTACGGCTAGCGTCGGTGGTATACAGGAGCGTGTTCATCGCGCAGCGGCGTCACACGAGCGTGCGAACGTAGGACGACGGAGCGTTGCTGGAGGAGGGAATGCGGAGGAGTACGATAGTGGAGCTATGCCAGGCATTACCCCGATTGGATCGATGTCGAGGGACGAGGGAATAGCCCCCAACTATGGCTTCTTCAAATTCACTCCAGACAAAATCGTCGTGCCTAGGCCACTCGAAGGACGCCACGACCTGTCGACATGGGTAGAATCGATCGAGCCGCAGCTTGAGATCGCTCAGCTAAAGCGTTTCATCGACGGTACCACTCCTATTCCCCCAGCACACGCAGTGGTGCTTCTCACACAGTTTCGCGCCATGCAGTTACTAACGTTCACCACGATTTCCCGATGCTGCTCCCCAACCGTACAGATCGCCCTTAAGGCGTGTCGCATGAAGGTAGATGCCGGCTTCCACGCGTGGCAGTTTATCATGCGCACGTATCAAGCGAAAGACGACCTGTATATAGGTCAGTTAGAGCAAGCGCTCACTAACCTCGAGATGGGAGAGCACGAGTCCGCCACATCCTATTGCAACCGTGCACAGCAGATCCTAGTGAACTTGAGGATGGCCGGCGTAGATTATTCGCAGGCGTCG